CAAATGTCAACCGTTCTTTTTGTGTGGTGAGATTCTTCCCAGTTTCTCTCATTTTCTTTAACTGCTTGAGCAGAGTAGCAAGGCGCCCGTTTCCAGCTTAGAGAGTTCTAGAGCAAGCACGGGTTTCCAACCAGAGTCAAAGGAAAAGCCAGAACCTTTCCCCTCTCAAAGCATCCTGATCACAAGCTTCAACTTTAGAAAAGGGGGTGTCAGATGCTTTGGGAAGCAATAACTGATAAATCCACACCCTGAGACCCATCCATTCATCCAGGACTCAGACTTACGAAGGTCAAAGCCACGCCGTGCAGAGGTGCGAAACCTCAGAGGGCGTCGTTCTCATAAACAAAATGCAGCCCAGGAAAGGATTCCAGGGTCTGATTGTGCTCCCCCAAATTCAGAGGCTGAAATCCTAACATGCAAATATGATGCTATTAGATGTGGGGGCATTTTAAAGGGGGTGACTAGGTCACAAGGGTTGGGTGCTCAGGAAGGGGATTAGTGCTCCCCGGAAACAGAGAATGATCCCTCATGCTCCCACCATCTATGGGCCCAGTGCGGACTCTGGACCATGTCCTCAGCCAGCTATGCTGATCCCAGGCCTCAGGCCCCAGAACTGTGGGGAATAAGTTCCTACTGTTTGCAAGGCACCAGGCTGTGGTGCCTTAAAATAATACTTTTAAGGCATGAGCTTCAATGCCATGTTTCTAAAGGCATGCATCAAATATGATAAAGACCTGGGCGTCTACACCCCCTTAATCTTCTCTTCCCCCGGGATGCAACCCTTTCAGAAAGTCATTGTAAATTCACAAAAAGCCCCAGGCCTGAGCTCATGGTATTATTCACGGGTTCAGGTGGGGCGGTACGAAGTGGACTAAGGCAGAAAGACCGCTGCCCCCACCTGAGCCGACGCCTCGGGAAGCGCAGGGACCGGAGTGGGTTCTCAGGAATCGTGCAGAAAATGTGTCTGTGCTCATCAAAAATTCAAGGCACTTTCCAGTACAAAACCCATGTTTTCTTTTTATCTCAATCACATGATTCCACTAAACTTTGAACAAAATCAATTGTGAGTCATTTATTCAATTTTCCTTCCTGAAAAAAATACATCCTGCATTCTGTCATTCTTAGAATTCAAAAGAGAAAAAACAGCGAGACTCCTCGATCCCACAGCTCTGGTTAATGAAATGCAGCATCGGGGAAGCCGGGCCGCGGCAGCGACTACACTTGTCCCCCAGCACACAGGTTTTTGACCTTCCTGAGGGCTTCTTTCCAGCTAGGGAAAGTCAGACTTCCAAGTCAAGCTGCAGCGGGTGTTTCTCTGGAGTGCACGCCACCCACGAGAGGGAGGGAGACCCCGGCAGGTGTGGCCCAGCCAGGCCGCGCGCGCGGGTCTTGCTGGGCCTCCCTGTGGCTCTGCTGCAGGTGAAGTTAAGATGACCCAAGAAAGTGAACTGTCATCTGGTCTTCTCTTGCAAGGTCCTCAGAGGCAGTTGCCAAACCCACATTTCACTCAGTTACCCTCACGTGCTCTGCTTAACAGGTTCAAGATACGTTTCCTGCAAACTTAATCACCCACCATTAGCTTTTGTTTTTGTTCTGTTACATCCTAAGAAGCACATGATGCAAAAACCCTCACTGTCCATCCGTCTAATCTGGCTGTCTTGCTTACCCCGATGACTGGAATCCCCCCGATGACTGGCTCCCCTTGCAAATCTCTGTCCAGAGCAATGCCAGTCACTGTTTTCTTCTGACCTTAGAGATTTAATGCAAAAAGGCAACTGAATCTGTGCCAAGGAGGACAGACAGGTGGGTCTGAGTGTTTGCTCTTAAACGTCCTCAGTGTCAGTTAGACCACCCTTCTGACACCTGTCGCCCTGGCATGAGCGGCAGCACACATCCAGCACAGCGCAAGGAGAGCACAGGGCCGTGGAGCCCAGGATTAGGAAGGTGCTGTCCCAGGGGTCTCATGTCTAAGCAGTGGTGGCTGCCAAAGCCTCAGGGACAACCCCCCCCCCTCACCGCCCAAGAAAGCCAATAGCGGGTGTGGTTTTTCTATCCACTCTTGCTCCTATGCGTTAAACTCATGGTTCTGACCCTGTTAAATAAGTTCTTTTGAAAAGCAACTTAAAAAATGGCCACCTGAATGAGAAGAGGCGCCTGTCACTATTCGTGACTCTCTTTCTGAAACCACTGACGGTGGCTCAGCCTTAAGGGAGCCTGTTCCTTCTCATTTTGCACGGGGGAGAGAAGAGAATAAAAGTTGTAAACTTCAGCCTTGGCGACCAGGATTTCTGATCCAGCAAACAGACCTAACCCTGCATTTTGATCCCTGCTAAATTATCTCCCAGCTCATCTCGTTGATTGCTCCGGGCACATCTGACATACTTTAATACCGAATGTAAATTAGACTCCCCCACACACCACCTCCACTCTCTCACATTGCCCTAAATTTGGACTTGACTTTCCTCGCTATACTTGCGCAGCTCTTTTCAATCACATGTCATTCCCCCCAAAAAAAACACTGTCACCGGATAAAGAAGATGCTGTGTCATAAAGTCACCCAGTTTAAAGCCAGCTCCGGGCTCATTTCCCCTCCCAGAATTGCCCGAGGCGGAAGGACCTGCAACAGCCACCAGAGCTCCTGGCCCTTGGGGTGCTCTCCACCCAGCAGGCTCATGCACCAGCCCAGGGGAGCAGCTCTGAGCTCAGGGGATCCTTAACAAGCACCCGGTGCTGACAGCTGCAGCAGGAACCCTGAGCCCACCAGCCTCCAATAAACCCTGAAGTCACAGGAAAGACCACAGACCCTCGCTTTGGCTCTCTGCGGTAACTGGTTCCCTGTGTCAGCAAACGATCCCCCGAAGCCCAGCCTGCCTGAGTTATTAAAACCAGAGTCACGTGTAATTCATCCAACTAAATAAAGCAAAGCTTCGGGATTGGGGGGCGGGGGCCAGCTCTCTACTCAAAGGCGCTTCTGTTCAACTTTATTAAAAGTTTTAAGCAGATTTAAGTTTAAGTCAAAGGGCAAATTCCCTTCCTCTGTGCAACACAGTCCTAGAAATCTGGAGGCCGGCAAGAGAGCTAGTCCCTAAGCCGGGGCCAGAGGGCGGGGCTGCAGGGGGAGATGCAGGCAGGAGGGAGAAGCAGGAGTGGATGGGGGCTGAAAGGATGTGGCGCAGCCAAGGAGACAAAGCTGAGCGGCACCTGTGGGGTTTTAGCCACAGGACAGGGCCTCAGGCGGAGGGCTCCTTGGTGCCAGAACCTGCAAAGGCGTCTGATGGGCTGCGGGGCTGCGGGGCGGGGGCGGCCTCAGAGCCGCCCTCATTACACATTCAGCAGAAACCAGGCTGCGACCTTCATCTCGGACTGAGCTCTGGGGCCTGTGCTCTCTCCCTGGGGACACGCAGTTAAGTGAACACGTGGAGCCAGGCACTCAGGGAAGCTCATGAGGACAACCCCGGGCAGCTGAGGTGGGGTGTCGGCCAGGGCCTGACCACCAGGAGGTCAGCAACCCACAGGGTCTGCCAGCAGCCACCTTGGAGACCGGGAGCTCCCAGGGTAAAGCTGGTTTCTAAGTCCTTCTCCAGCGGTGTGTAAAAAGCCACCGCACCCAGCCAGCTCGCTGATGCAAGCCGGGGGAGCCTGCACAATAGGGAACTTTGGAAGCCTCTGCTGCGAGTCCAGCAGAAAGTCCCCCACCCCAGCAGGCGGGAAACAAGGACCGGACATCAGCGCAGTCTCTCTGCCTCCTGCTCCTGCCCCCACCTGCTCCCAGGTCTCTGCACCTCTGTCCAAGAACCCACATGCACTTGGACTTCGACATCCACCTGGCGGTCAGCTGCCCGGCCTTGTGGCTCAGGGCTGGCTCAGCCTTCACTGGCCGGTGACTCTGAACCAGCTGACCTTGAAACTCTCTGTGCCTTGGTTTCCTCATTCATCCACTGGAAATAACAGCAGCCCTGGACCTCACGGCTCCCCACCGCCCCCAAAGGCTCAAATCAAGAAACCTAAAGGGAGCACAGGAAGCAGTGCCTGGACAGAGGCTCCCCAGGCCTCCCAGGTTGGGGGTCGCCAGACCACTGGGTGACCCGCGCCCTGGGGAGACACAGCCTTCCCTCCTCGCCCACACACTCCCTCCCCACCCCTTGGCTCCATCCCGAACCCGCTGCTGAACTTCATCCTGCTTTGCCTGCCCCGCTTCCCGCCGTGTTTACATCAGAAGTCACCCATGGAGAGATAAAAAGCAGTGGAGAGGCATTTTATTTCGGAAGTTGTTAATTTTACTCTAGACTTCCAAAAAAAGGATCCCCCATCTGTCGGGGGAAAAAAAAAACAAACAGAAGATAAAAGATCTAAAAAAGTAAGGGTTCCAGGGCCCACCCGAGGGAAGGAGCAGGGCCGTGTCTGCACGGGAAGGCAGCGAGCCCCCCAAAACTGCCTCCTCTACAGGGGGAAAGGGAACATGCTGTTTTTATAAACCCAACGGGGGTCCCTTGGCGCCCACGAGTGCATCTGCAGGACGTGCTCAGCGGCGCCTGCACCGGCTCCGGGGCGGTCTCGGGGGGAGCGCAGGGCACAGCACCCCGGCCCGGGCGCTGCCTCCCGCCCCCCCCCCCCCCCCCGCCCCTCAGCTCTGCCCAGCGCAGGTGCCCCCGGGCAGCCCCTCGCTCTGGCGGCGCCGAGAGGATGCCCACAGCCCAGCCTCCCCCTGGCTCCAGGCGGCCCCGCAGACGCGCTAGCCGGGGAGCCCAGGGGACCCCGCAACCCGCTGGTGCGGGAGAAAACCTCGGGTTTCGTCCTCCGGCGTGGGGACCCCGCCAGCTCCCCCGCAGCCCCCGCGCGCTGGGAGCCGCCGGGGAGCCCTGTCCCTTCCCGGGGCGAAGGGGCACGAAGTTGCAAACTTCAGCAGCCGCCGCCCCGCGGAGCCCCCCGAGGCTCCACAGCGCGGGTCCCGGGGCGCCCGGGGCGCGGGGGCGGCGGGCCGGGCGCGCCCGCGGACTCACCTCGCTCATGGTGCCGCGCTCCTCCGTCCGCTCCGGGCGCGCTGGGGTGGCGGCCGGCCCCGGGCCCGCGCTTAAGAAGGGCCGCCCGGCGCATCACGCGCGCGCGGACCAATGAGGCGCCCTCACCTGCGCGGCGCGATCCCCGGGCGCGCGGGGCCCCCTAGCGGGCGCGCGGGAGGCGCGGGGCGCGGGGCGCGGGGCGCCCGGGGGCGGGCGGCGCGACCCCCGAGGAGGGGCCGGGGCGCGCGGGTCCAGGGGCGCAGCCGGGAGCGGAGCCGGCGGGTGGGGCGGGAGGGGGGCCCGGCGCTCCCCTCCCGCGGGGCCCCTGCCCCTCTCCGCGCCCCGCCCGGCGGAGGCGAGCGGGCTGGGCGGGGACCCTCACCTGCTCCAGCCGGGGCGCGCGGCCCGAGCTCCCGACCTCAGGCGCACCTGGGGCTGTTGACCCCGGCGGCTCCTTCGCAGGCGGCTGTGAGTGCAGGTGGGGGCGCCCTGGAGCTCACCTGTTCAGGCCCGAGGGGAATTTCAGCGTCTCAGAGGCGGCGCGCAGGTGAACCCGGTTCCTGGGCCAGGGCGCGGTTGGGAAGGTCTCCTCCTGGTCATGGGCTGACTGTGGGCCGTGTCTGTAGTAGGGAACGCAGGGCACGTGTTGAGGGCGACCACAGCGGGCCAGGCTGCACCTGGAGGTCCTGCCTGCCGGTCCCATGCCCGCTCTGGGGCAGCGGTGCCCCACAAGAACAGCCATCACACCAGGGACTCGGACACGCCTGGGCCTCGACTTGGACAAGGGACAGGACAATGTCAGCCTTGCCGGGTGGCTCTGACAGCGGTCGAATTCAGGAAGCGATGCTGAAGCATGGGTAGGAGAACACGCACAGGTGTGCGTACACACAGGCACCTGCATACAGACACATGCAGACATACATAGTGCACACTCACACGCTTGCCTCACACCAGACACGTGCACGGACACCTGCATCAAGAACACACACGCGGGGACACATACATGTCATTTGTGTGCACGTATACCCTTGTACACACATGTGCACACGTGTGCTCACCCATGCACACACATAGATCACTCCCTGCTTCCCAGGCTCCCTCCTCCGCTTGCCCAGCCCCACCTGCTGGGACCCTTGCTGCTGCTGCCTCCATGCGTCTGTCTTACTCACAGCTTCCACGCCCCTCGCCTGCCCTCGCACCAGCCACACACGCTTTGCTGGGTACGTGGAGTCACCGACCAGAACATACAGCTCGAATCGCCGGCGTGACCTGGGGAGCCTCTCACCCCACAGCATCTCCCTCCCTCCACCGGTAATAAGGAAATATTAAAACCTCGCATCTGCCAACCTAGGCAAAAATATATAGACTAAATACATTGCACCGAGAAATAAATTTTGGAGGAACTTCAGGAGAATTAGATCTACAGCTTCAAATATTAGATCTTGGGGAATACTTCAGCCTTACTGAATTAAAACACAGGCGTATGGTTCTATAATTTATGAAAAATATATATAATATGGATAGATTATTTTCATCTTCTCGGAAGCGTGGTCCCGCCTGAAGGCACTGAGCGGGACCAGGCAAGCATTCAGAACCCCCACCCCAGGGAATATTTATAGGGACACTATCTGTTGATGAGCTGGGCCTCTCTTCAGACTTTTATACCAAATGCATCATCATCTGTGAACAATGTCGGGGGAGTGGGGCTTTTTAAAAAAAATCTGCCTCCTGCTTCCTTCCCCACCTGGAAGGCTTCAGGATGGATGATAATGCAGGGAGCCTTCTAGATGGAGGCTCCCTCCCTAGCCTCTCCCCCAGCCCATGCATCTCCGCTGCTCCCCAGCCAGAAGCCAGCATTGTCTGGGTGTCTATGCAGCTCCCACCAGTGGTCGCAGACTCCCCACCCTCACGGGGGGCCCAGTGGGCCCATCTTGCTGCCCTCACCTGTTCTCTGCTGCCCTAGAGTGAAGCCTTCCTCCAGCACCTGTCCGTGCCAAGCTCTAGAGGCCATGCAGCCCGGAGCCAGGGGCTACCCTGGTCCTCTCTACAGATGGGAAGCGCACACGTTCTCCCAAGCCCTCCTGAAAACACGCTCTGCCGTGGCTCATTCGTGAGAGTCAAGCTCTCATCTTGCCTTGAAGCCTCTTGAAAGAGGGTGAAGCCATGCCAGCCGCCCCGCTCTTCCGGTCTCCCCACTGGCACCGCTCCCGGCCCCGAGCCGCCTCCCAAGTTACCTTCCAATAGCTAAGTGCTGCGTGGGTCACTGCGGGCACAAAGAAAGCTTTGTCCAGAAAACTGCACTCACTTGCCAGGGCCAAGGGAAGGAGTCCCTCTTTGGGAAATGAGAGGATATTTCAAACATCTCTCTGCAATGGTAATGAAAAGGGAAAATCCCAAAATTTTGGAAGATGGCTAAGTACAGGGTCCAAGTGCAGAGTGGAGTTCAAAGCATCAGCATTGGCTCCCCTGTTAATTGGGGGCACAAGGGGAGCCAAGTGTAAGTGGAGGCCTGGCTCAGTTTCAACACAGTGGAGCCACTGGAAATAGCCAATATTTGGCAATTGCTAAAATCCCCACATTGGACCCAGGACCTGCGGCTGCAGAGCCCAGAGTGAGGAGGCCGGGCGGGACTCTGAGGCTGGCCGCTCAGCCATGGTGACGAAAAACATGGCCTTCCCCAGGAATGGCCGAGATCCGCGCCATTCTTAGAGAGTTAAGGGCGTCTGGGTGATGGGTTCCAACTTCGCTTCGTTTGCTTCACCAGCCTGACCTTTACAAAAGACAGAGACCCCGGGGGAAGTCAGGGAATGACACATTTTCTCAGCCATACAGCAGCCCCCATGAAACGCCTGTGCCCATGTGGCATCCCTGCCAGGGACATCAGTGTGACCCCAGGAGCAGGGCATGGGGTCATTCATCTGGCAAATGTGTCCTTTTCCTTCATTATTAGGAAAGGGGGTGGGGAGGTGTGAGCCCCTGAGGTGACACCACCGACCCCCTGCTTGGAAGTCAGCACCTTCAGCTCCTGCTGCCCTGGGAGAAGCAGTAACTCGGCATTCTGGGCCGGACACATGTAATGTGAGGTTCTTCCCTGCCCACAGGTCCCCACTCAGCTCAGTCCTGCACCATCTTTGGGGTCCTAGAAGTGCTTGACCACCGATTGGCACACAAGATTGCACACCACCACCCTGTGCCACTTCACGTCAGCTGGCACGGCCCGTGGCAGCGTGGAAATGCCACATTGCTCTGAAAGACATGACGAAGGCAGCACCAGGACACAGGGGAGACGGAGGCTCGCAGGATGGAATAGAAGAAAGAAGGGAGCTGTTGGGGGGCAGCCAAGGGTCCCTTGAATGCTGGACTTAATTCTGATCAACTCAAAGATCACGCCTTGAAGCCTGAGTGGCAGAAACTTCCCAAGGCTAGGGGAAGAGCCCCTAGATCTTTCCCAGAGGCCCCCAGAATTGGGAACCATTCCTGCTGCCAGCAGCCAAAGTACAGTGACCTTGAAATCCACAGACGCTGCCTTAAACCTGGGGTTAAATTAATTCCAGAATAAAGGCTGCTCCTGGCTCACCAGAACAAAGCCTAATAGCAAGCCTCAAAAGACTGGAATAGTCCACGGGTTACTTAATTATATGCCAGAAAAATAATCCAATACTCTTCGAAGGCGTACAATAAAATCTAGCACTTGGGGTTATGACATTTATAATGTCTGGCAGCTGAAAAGGACCAGGCATCCAAAAAAAAAAACCACCACTAAATACCATCCATTCCCTTCAGAGGAACTAATTAAAAAGCCAACGACTCTCACTCCTGTACCTTTGCTCTGAAGTCCGTATCAGGGATTCTGAAAGCCACGTTTCAGCTTGTTCTGCCCCTCCCATGCGCCAAGAGGGAGCACTTACGGATGCTGCAAAGCCGGAGGAGGAAGGAGAGGGACCCCCCTTCCTGTCTCCTCCTGATCCTCCCTGCCTCCTGCCTGGTCCTCCCTGTCTCCTCCTGGTCCTCCCTGTCTCCTGCCTGGTCCTCCGTGCCTCCTCCCTGGTGCTTCCTGCTTGAGTCCTGGTCCTGTTGGTGGCAGCCGTTAACTCCAGCAGCGGCAACTCCCCTGCTGAATCTAGTTCTCGTTTCTCCAACCCCTGGAGCACCTCCCCCCACAGGCCCCCCAGAGACACCAGCACCAGCCTCTGCTCCCCCTCCCCGGAGGCCCCACCTCTGGTCCCACAAAGCCACTCTGCTTTTTATCTTAAATATCCCAGTCCCTCCTATTGTGTCCCCAGCCCCTGGGGAAAGCACTTGAAGCTGCTACCGCCCTGGTAGCCCGGCGCTCTCTTTGCCCCCCACCGGGAAACTCGTTGAGGACTTCACTGCTCGTGATCAAACTGCACATGAAGCGCCCTCTGGGCGAAGACTGGCGTGGCCCCTGCCTCCCGGTGCGCCTGCCCCTCGGTGCCTGTCAGGGCTTGCAGGGCGAGTCCGCAGATTCTGTCATTATCTTCCTTTCTCAGATGAGAACCTGCGATCCTGAGAGGCCAGCGGTTGGCCCCAAGTCCCAGTTTGTAGCTGTGGAGCCTCGTTCTTGGAGACAGTCCTTCCACGTGACTCCGAAATGCGGCTGGCGTGATGGTGGCAGGGCTGACTGCAGGCCCGGACAGGGCCAGAGGAGAAGGCCATGCGGGGCGGAGCGGGCCCGTGGGCACCCAGGGCCGTCCCTGACCCCTGGCGCCAGGAAGGATGGAACGAAGCTTGAGCCTCAGACAAGGCTGACGTGGGAATCCACGAGGGACCTGCAGATAAAATACCAGCGAGACAACAGTCAGCGGTTGCCCACTGTGAGCATCTATTAGCCCTCAGCTCCGCTTCAGACTCTCCAGCCAACCTAGGGAAGAACCGCTCATACGGCTTCCTGCCCCGGGGACCCAGCGTGGCGGGGCCCAACCTGGCGGGGGACCCAGCGTGGCGGGGCCCAACCTGGCGGGGGACCCAGCGTGGCGGGGCCCACGGCGTCATTCCATTGTTTCCAGTCTGTAAAACATGAGCGTTAAAAA